TGATAAATATGGGGTGTCTCACAAGCGCGGGCTTGCGTACCACCCTCAAACGAGTGGTCAAGCGGAGGTCACCAATAGAGAGCTCAAGGTGATTTTGGAGAAGACGGTTGTTAGGACAAGGAAGGATTGGTCCTCCAAACTTATTGATTCACTATGGGCTTATAGGACCGCCTTCAAAACTCCAATAGGGACCACTCCCTACAAGCTTGTCTATGGGAAAAATTGTCATTTGCCCGTGGAGATGGAGCATCGAACGCATTGGGCAATCAAACAAATCAACTTTGATCTCCATAGTGCGGGTGAGCAAAGGCTTTTAGAGCTACATGAGTTAGATAAGTTAAGGATGAATGCCTACGATAGCGCAAGCTTGTATAAGGCGCGGACTAAGGCTTGGCACGATGCTCAAATTGTCAAGAACGAATTCGTCAAAGGCCAAAAAGTCCTCCTATTCAACTCCCGCTTGAAGCTTTTCCCGGGCAAACTTAGGTCAAGATGGAGTGGGCCGTACATTTTCACGGAAGTGTTTCCATATGGAGCCTACAAAATTTCCCAAGACGGCCACTCTCCTTTCAAAGTCAACGGTCACCGTCTCAAGCCCTATTATGAAGGATTCCCAAGTGATGAACCGGTTTCTGTGACACTTCTTGATGTGCATCGTCAATTCGACCCTCCTTGATCAACTCAAGGAACGTCGAGCTAACGATGTTAACCAAAAGCGCTTCCGGGAGGCAACCCGAGTTTCTAACCCTTTTATACTTTTTCTTTTCATGTCGTTTCTATTTTTCCATCTACGACTTTGGATTGTTGAGATTTTTGAGTTTTGATTGTGCTTGGGTTTGAGATATGCTTTACATCTAGCATGATTGTAATGTGTTTAGATGTGTGTTAAGGACTATTTTTACTTGTATGATTCTTTATGGGAGTTTTGCCGAACCACTTCATGTTCGGCCACTACAGCAATTTCAAGGATTTATGGCAGCAAACATTTTTTTTAAAAAAATCGAGAATATGGACATATGAGATTCTTCTAAGATGAAAGGAGTTTGAGCAAAATTACGTGGATCAGTAAATTAGAGATGAAGAGCTTTAATTTACAAAAGATTTGAGCGGATTTGGTTGAAAGAAAACGACCAAGTTCAAAGTTCGGAGCGAAACAAAGCAACGAACAGCAGCAACAAAGGCCAAATAAGGAAGACCCGACTCCAGCGCCAGATAACAAAGCTGTCGCCTAGCGACGACAGAAGCAAAGTGCGGCGACACATTTTCCAAGAAGGCGTTAGTATGGAGATACAATGCGTGGCCCCCATATTAGATTATGCGGACCGAGTGCAACATTTTCCGGGTTCCTTGGTACGCTAGTTAGCCCCTATAAGGAATTTGACATGATTAAGTAGTCAGTTTGATTACAATCGCAAATAAGTGATCGACCTGACAAAAGATCGTCTCACTTAGTTTAAAGAACCTAAGCATTGGCTCATCGCAAAGGCACCAACACAATGGTTTGTATATAGCAAAGCACCGACGTACTGGTTCACGAGCAGCAAAAGCGCCGACGCACTGGCCAAAGTAAATTTCAAGCGAGCTTTAAAGATCGACAAGTGTCGATCTTCGGTAATTTTCATCGGAATATTATCTCAACAATTGAGGATGACTTGAAGTGAAAATATCTTCGAAAGCATTTGCTAAGATTGTGGACGTTGTCACCAAAGATTTGAGAAGATAGCATGAGATGGGCGGTCTTCGACAGCATTCGCTAAGATTGTGGACGTTATCACCCAAGATTTGAGAAGATAACACGAGATGGGAAGTCTTCGACAGCATTCGCTAAGATTGTGGACGTTATCACCCAAGATTTGAGAAGATAACACGAGATGGCCGGTCTTCGACAGCATTCACTAAGATTGTGGAGGTTGTCACCAAAGATTTATTTGAGAAGATAGCACGATATGGGCGTTCTTCGACGGCATTCGCTAAGATTGTGGAGATTTTCACCAAGACTTGAGAAGAGCGGTTCGTGATGAGGCGGTCTTCTATGACTTTTGCTACGATTGGAAAGGTTGTCACTATGATTCAAGAAAAAAGGTTCGAGATGTAGCAGCATTGATCGACGGCGTTCCCTAGCTTGTGGAGGGTTGTCACAAACAATTGGTTGGATAGGTCTTGAAATTACTTTCCAATGATATATTATAATATTAATCCGAGCGATAACAAAAAAGATATGAATGAGATACAAGAGAAGTTATCTTCAATAGCGTTCCCTAGCTTGTGAAAGGTTGTCACAACAGCAAATGCAACACAAATCGGTTACCCCCAAAGACGTGTGCTCGACGGTTCAAGATACGCGTTTCGTAACTCTTTTATCAGTTTAAACTAACTCTACTTTGCAGGTATCGGCGTTACAAGAGTGATTTAGGATCACATAACGTTCTGAATCATTCTCCGTCCCTATCGCTACTTTGACTTTTATTTTTATAAAATTGCGTTTCTCCAAACTCAGTCAAAGTTGGGGCTTCTGTAGATACCCAAATGTGTCTCCCTAAAACCAAACCCAGTGATGAATACCTTTCATGTCATTTGATTATCGAACGAGGTGAAAGTGTGAAAAGTCTAGTGATGAGGATGTTTTTATTAAAATATCTCTTCTTTCTGTTTTTGAAAATATTTCTTTTCTTACCCAATTAATGAAAAATGTGCGTTCCATTTTAGTTTGTTTCATTATATGGGTCCAATAATTGTTTACTTGGATGGGGTTGAAAAGAACTTTCCAACGATATATAATAAGCCCAATTCCGATGAATAATGAGGAAGTTATGGCTAAAATACTAAACTTGTCTCGAACCGATTTTTACCTACAACCCAATGATCATGTTGAGGGTCCAAAGTTCTAATCCTATTCCTAAACTAATTAGGATTAATTAGAAATTTCTATATTTTTCTAAAAGATCTTAATTATACTTTTTGAAAAGATAAGATTAAAGAATTTGAGTTAAATAAAAACTTTCCTTTTTTAAAACTTTCCTTTTCTTAAATCCTAATTCTATTCGAATTTAAGGATGTTCAAAGACAGTCAGTTATTATTTTCGTGCCTCATAATCATTATCCAAATCTTATATGGTTGGATAGGTCTTGAAATTACTTTCCAATGATATATTATAATATTAATCCGAGCGATAACAAAAAAGATATGAATGAGATACAAAACTCTATCCAAAACTGACACCGTCCTAATATTTCAGCCATATCTTTTTATTTACAAACGGTTTTTATCTAATTCTAATTGCATTTTAAAGTAGAATTCAGTAGCTTTCCAACGACATATTATATGCCTTATTTAGACTTCTAGATCAAAAGATATGATAAAAACAAAATCCGCAAAAACTACTGTCCATCGAGTTTTATTTCGATTCGAATTCGAATTCTTATTTTAATTCTTCGACCCTCTTTTTTTTCTATAAATAGAGGTCATATCTCCCCTTTTTCAATCACCAACTCTCATCAAGATTCTCTTGATCTCTCTCTCCCTTTTTCTAGCCTAGCCTTGTACAAACACAATTCCTCAATCCGTAGCACTAGACATACCTAGCCAAGTTCGAAGTTGCCTTCGCCCTAGACGTGAAAGGTTTTTTTAATATCTGAGGGTTTGGTCCCAAATCTTTCAATTAATTAATTTAATTATTTATTATTTTCTTTGAAGTTACTAACGCGTGTATTTTGTTATTAGAAAGAGGTACGAGGCATCCAAGTAAGTGCTTTAATTGATTTAATTATATTATGATATAGAAATCATATCTAGGTTGTTATTATGATTCTTAGTATCATGTTATGGTGTTTTGATATTCCTATTATTATTTTTAGGGAAAAGGTTATAATATCAAATATGATTATTGTGATTCTTGCGATGCTTCCTATTTTCTTTTCTAAATATATCATGTTAGTATCATGTTATGGCTAAAGCTTTGATTTATATATGTTTAGTGACATGCTAGAGTTTGTTATTAATCTTTTTATTATCATGCCTAGGATCTTGCTATGCTTTAACATGATTATGATTATTTTAAACATGATTATTAAAATTATTATTATTATAATTGTTATTTTTATGAACATTATGTTGCTTAATTATATTTATTGTTATTGTTGATTCATACCTTTTATGCATGTTTAAAGGGAATTGGTATTTGTAATCACGCTTAATAAGATAATTAATAATCTTGTTTAGGGTTAATTTGATTATAATTCAAGTGATCGTCAACAATAAATTTATCGGCTATTTCACCAAATGCCACTGACAAATTTAAAAATTCATCAAATGCCATCGCACTTTTCAGAATTCACCAAATGCCACTCTCAAACAGTAAAATGTCATGTCGTGCCATTAATGAGGTGTGGACGTTAACATTCCGTTACTAGGATTCTTAATTCACAAAATGCCACTGACAAATTAGTAATTTTCATGAAATGCCATTACTTTTGTAAATTATTTCACAGTAACCCTCTAATCAAATGAGTACTAACGGCTAGTTTAATTAAACATTTTTGAAATATTTTTGGGGTAAAATATGAGACTTAGAACACACATTGCATCCCACTACATGCATAATCATGAGTTTATTATCAAACACATCCTCCTCCACATACGAGTATGCATATGTAAGAGTTCCAAACAAGTTTTGCGTGAAAAGTTCTCAATTCTATTATGAAAGTAGGAGTTGTTATGTGTGTAATAGTTGTGATTGTAATGATGAAGTGAACAACAATGTAATTCCAATGAAAGTAAATAAGGTGTTAATTTGAACATTTCTAGTATAATTATTCATGTTGCAATCATGTTCATCCAAAAAATTATGGCTAATATTTTCTGTTCATCTACAAAAAAATGCCCTTGCTGGCATAATTCAGAATTTTTCCCAAAAAAGAAAACACAGTGGAATGTTAATGTTCAAAAATGTTGATTTCATTAACAAATATGCTATGCATTCAAAAGGGCAGGGCTGTGGAGTTTATGCAGCTTTCTTTGATCTCTTCTTGGTCTTTGAAGTGCTTGCTTCAGCCTCTGCATTGTTGTTGATTGTTGCAGTTATTGCTTCAAGCTGCTCAGTGTTGTTGTTTGCTGCACTTGTTGCTTCAGCTGCTGCTCTCTTTTTCTTTGCTGCACATATCTTCATGTTGTGGCCCAATTCTTTGCATAGGCTGCACTTGACTGTACTATGTCTCTTTCCCTTTCTTGCTTCATTAGCCCTTTTTCTTCCTTGTTTCTTGGGTCTACATGCTGATCTTTTCACTAAGGATGGTAGTATGTCAGGGAGGTTGAATGAAGGCAACCGATTTTGGTCAGGCATTTGGTGCATATGTTCTCCATAAGTGTTTTTATATGCACTCCCTTTGAAATAAGGTGATACAAAATCTGTAGCCTGCAGCCTTTGGTGGTAAATCACCCTGAGCACATGCTTACATGGGATCCCTAAATGTTGCCACTTCCCACAACCACAAGTTCCAGCCCCTAGTTTGATGGGATAGTACACATGTGCATCTCTAACCTCAAACTCATCACCCCCACATGGTGTAGCATAGCATAATCTGGACTCATCTGATCTTGTTTGCAAGATTTTTGTTGCATACTCAGTGAGTTCCCCATCCCCCATTGAAGTTCCTTTATCAAACCTTGGAGCCATCCTTTTCATGCATCATTGCCTTATAGCTGCAAAATTAAAACCAGTTACACACATCTAGGTTGAAATGACATTTGCAAAGTGATAAAACATGAGAAAATGCTTGTTTAACCTTCAAAAAGCTTTAACACAGGTAGATCTTTGTATGGCTTGATGCAAGAGTTGAATGATTCAACAAAATTTGATGTGTTATGGTCACAACAGACAACTGGGTCAAACTTATGCCTTGACCGAACTTCAATGGTACTCTCAAAATACAGAACCACATTTGGATTTTAGGCATGAATCTTCTGCATTGCTTTGTTGAAAACATATGGATTGTAAACATCAGCAGCAACCCAAAATAGTTTATGAAATGATGTTCCACTAAAGCCTTCTATTTTGCAGTTGTTGTACAAGTGTTGACATCATATTCTTCTACTAGCTCTGGGAAATGTCTCCATAATTTCTGCATCAACTCCCTGCAAAACCATATAACAAGTGAGGAAAGAGTACTGTAAAGTAATAAAAAAAAAGAAAAAAGTGTATGCAAAAGAGACTAATTTACCTTCATCCTGTCAGAAAGAAATGTCCAATCATCTCTGTTGCATCCCTCTTTCTCAATGAGGCACTTTAAATTCCTCAGAAAATAACCCCAAGTCTTAACACTCTCTATAATGACTATGCCATAAGCAAACATAAATATCTCATTGTTCCCATCAATTCCAACAACTGTTAGCAGTATCCCTTTATAATATCCACTAAGATGGGCCCCATCAATGCCAATGATTGGCCTACAGCCTCTCAAAAAACCTCTAACTTGTGCAGCAAAAGAAAAGAAGCATGTGTTGAACCTAGGTTGGAAATTTTCAGGTACTTGTGCCCATGTCACTAGTGCATAACTCCCTGGATTGATCTGCTTGACCATCTTAGCATATCTTGGAAGGAGACTGTAGGCCTCTCCAAATCCACCATGAATGAGCTCCTTGGCAATTGCTTTCACCATCTCAGCATATCTTGGAAGGATATTCAAAACGCGAATGGAAAAGCGAAAGAGCGATTATTACCTTGATTGTTATGTCAAACACCCTAAACTCAAATTCAAGAGCTTTTTGCTTCTACTTCCTCCCCTACTTGTCACTGGTCTACTGGTTAGCACAACTTTAATCGCAAAAAAAGATTCAATTTTTAGGAGTGTTTTGTTCAAGTGTTAACGAAAGCTTCTAGTTTGAGTATGGATTTGAGAGTTTGAATGAGGGTGAAAGTTCGAAGAACGGAGAAGAAGAATGATGGATTTTTTTTATCTTAATTGAAGAAGTCAAAGAGTCAATGAGCATTCACGCGCCATTAACCCCAAATAAGGGTATAATGGTCATTTCGCATTAACGGACTGTTAACGTCCAGGCCTCATTAATGGCTCGACATAACATTTTACTGTTTGTGAGTGGCATTTGGTGAATTATGAAAAGTTCGATGGCATTTGATGAATTTTTAAATTTGTCAGTGGCATTTGGTGAAATAGTCATATATTTATTTGTGCATTAATATTAAACCAACATAGATAAACAGGTTTAGGGTTAATCCTATTGATTGCATGTTAGTCAGATTGCGCACATGAATACGATCAGAATAAAGTAGAGGCCTATTATTAGGGCAGGTTTAATCTCTTTTGGGTTGGATTTATACCTTCATCCTCGAACTACCAGTCATGGTTACAGACCTATTGGAGTTAACGATCTCCTGGGTCGTTAAGGGGTGTAACCTTCACCATGTGAACAGTTTACATGTTCCTAAAACTTGTTGGCGACTCTTTTGCTTTAGCTTCCTTCCCTTTGGACGCCACAATGGGGTTCAAGTTTTGGGTAATGCTTGAAATATTCCCTACAACACCGTTATTTTTGCCTGCCCTAAGCATACGTTTTGGACGTTTTTCGCAAGCGTGTCTAAAGACGTTCCATAGTGGTGCTTTACGTAAAAGATTCCATTGACAAAGTTGTCAATTTACTATACTGACTTTAGAAATTTCACGTTCTTTACTTTCTTGTTTGCATCCACAGCAAATATGGATGGTGTTATCATACAACGTAAAATTGTAAGGCGTTATCATATAGCGTAAAAATGTATAGCATAGGTGTTGCGTAAAATTTCACTTCTTCCTAGCCAATGTGATCTACCTCTCGTAACTAAAACAATATAATTTCTTTACTTTCTTTCTTTAGGCGTTAGATAAAACAATTCGAATGGCACGCCGAACCATTTGAGAACAGACACTTCTTGATTGGAAGCAAATACGATAGTTAGTGAGCTTTCTGGCTTACCGAAAGTTATGGTGTTCGTCCACCCCTTGTATAAAGAGCGACGTGCGATTTCAAAGCAAAAATGGTAGTTAGTGAGCTTACTGGCTTACCGAACAGTTAGGGTGTAATACCCCGTATTTTTATACGTATTTTATTTAAAATATGTATTTTATAACGATATTTAAATAATTTTAGTATTTTAATTATGATGTTTTAATTATTTATCCCATGTAAGTTGGGAATATTTTACTAAAGGAAAGTTTGTTTAATTAATTATTTAATAGAAGTTCGGGTTTTATTTTAAGAAATTATGATTTTAACAAGTTTTAGTAGGGAAGGGATTAGGAAAAACTAAAGGAGGAAAGTTTAGGGTAAAATGGGGTGATAGAGAAGGGGTATAAATATCCCTCTTATGAGGCAATTAAACTTTGCCCAGAGTGGAGAAAACCCAAGGTAAACTTCTCTCCCATTTCTCTTTATTTTCTTCTTTCTTTTTCTTTTTCTCTCTCTTTCCCTTCCCCTTCTTGCTTTCGCACCACCACCACCGGTGGGCCGCCAACGACCAGCACCAGCCGACAGCAGCGGCGACCACCGGCGCAGGCAGCAGCGGCAGCAGCCGTCAGTGGCACCGGCCTGCTGTCGACAGTCACAGGTTTCGAAAAAAAAATGTTTTAAATATCAAATGTTTCTTAACCAAATATAATCTAGGCTTTAATCTAATTGTAAATTATGAGTTTGGAGATTTAATTTTGATGTTTGGTTATTGTAATTATGATAATTATTAATTTTCAGATTTGGTTTTTAATTAAAAAGCCCCAATTTTTGAAATCCTAAGTTCTTGATTTCTGAATTATTGAAGGATTATGATGTATAATGGGGTAGACCTTTGTTTTAAGTGTTTTAAAGCTTAATTACACCAAGTTTTAATTATAATAAAGTGCTGGAATTTTATGTAGTACACTTTATATTATGTTTCTTGAAAAACTTTTAATCACCCATTAATTGGGACATAATTATGGTGTTTTAAATATAATTTCATCTTACTTTAATTGAATTTTGAGGGGTTTTAAAATAGTATATATTGCTGAAAATTTGTTTAGAGTTGATATTAGTACTCTATTATGAATTTAATGTGTAGGAAACTTTGAAGTAAGCAATTTCTGCTAGTCGTGGTAATTTTAAAATCGTACTCAAGGTACGTACGCGTACTTAGCATATTTTTGGTGATGTAGCATCATGCTAGACATGATTTAATTAATCCTAAATAGTATCATGCTAAGATTTATGATTGGAAATTGTGGGTTATTGATATTGGTGATTAAATTAGAAAGTATGATTTATTTGAGATGGATTAATAGTTGGAAAATTAATGTTTGGCATGTTGTGTTTGAACCACACTTTTATTTATGGCATGTTAGAATGCATGATTAATTACACTGCATGTTTAATTATGTTAGGAATATTGAAAAGGGATTTTATTATGGTTAAATAATTTTTATTGATGCTTCAAGCATGAGGAATGAGCAATATAAGTGTCTATGTACACAATGAATAAATTGTATGTTGGTGTCTTTGTGCACTTAAGGTATTTTTAACACCAAGGGATAGGATTTTTGGCGCATTATGCGTTTAAGGTGTCTTTGACACTGCGGTAGAATTATAAAGGGTTCAACATTAAATGATATGTGGTCACTAATTATTCAAGAATTAATTTGGTATGTTTGGTTGATTGAATAATTATTGTCGATTGTTTTATTATGCTTTGAGAGTCATCACCAAGTCCAATAAAATGTAAATAACGTAAAGTGAAAGAGATTACGCACCAAAACTCTTGGAACGTATATACCTTGAGTATGAACAATGGGAGGAGTTATGGGGTTTTATATTTAACCATAACTTCTAAGGATTATAGGACGCTGTACATTTCTTTTTATTTATTATTATGCGCAGGAATTTTGCCACCTTTGAGTGGTTTTGTCGCTGGCACGGTTAGCTCCCGTGTCAGATAACCTCAACTTATTTGGGGGAGGATAGTTGGAAACCCGTTCGACGCGTAATCAACGCTAAATGAATTATTTAGTGTGTTGTCATTGTGTTTTGTTGATTGATGTGTGTGCTTGTAAACAGGTGCGATGAGGTAAGTGTGTTGATAGATGAAAGCATGTTAGTGTGTTTAATTTACGCTTATGTACTCAGCTTTGCTGATTGTGTGTATTTGTGTGTTGGGCCATGTCTTTACCTTGGCCCTATGATGACCCATTTTTAATGGAGAGTAGTGGAAACAAGTAGAGATAAAATTTTCAGGTATTGAAGCTATCATGATGGGGCATGAGAGAAGAGTGAATCTTTCTAGCTTTCATTAGGTTACGATGTGTTTTATGCTTTATTTATTTATGACATATTTTATGTGGACTAACACAAAGGTTTGGTTTTGGGAACGGTTTTGAATAAGGGTCTTTGATGGTTCCAAGTTGTAGTTTGATTTTTATTTGACTTTGTTTGTTTGGTTTTAAACTTTACTTTCGTTTGGTTGACTTTTGAGTTGACCTGTTTAAACGGATTTTAATTTCTAGTCTTCCGCTGTGTATCTTTGATAATTGCCTTAGCTGTTTTCACGGTGGCGGTAATGTCTTAGATATTCCTAAATCTTATTTTAAAGAAGTGGTATCAGAGCTTAGGTTGAGATTTTAAATTACCACTAACCTGAAAACGTTTTTCTTACTGTGATTTAAACTTGGCCAAGTGTTAATTTAATTATGCAACGTTAATTGTTCCGAAGTTATTTTTTTTATAGATATATATATATATATTATTTATTTAATTATTTATTTATTTTATTTTGATCCGATATTTTTTTTAAGGGACACTCAAATTTTTTTTTAGTGTCGAAAATTTATTTCTTTTTTTTTTGTAGGGCCGAAATTTTGGCCCTCTTCTCATTAAATTCGAATTTTTTTTAAAAGGGTAATAATATATTTTTTTAAAGTATTGCAGGGAGCAAGGATTGAGGTAAGAATTATGTGTTAAAAGCTTTTATTAACATGTTGGTGAGCTTGGGTAGGAAAAAGAAAGGGCATATAGGCTAGAATTTTATTTAATCCCTATGTGCATAATTTTATTTTGAGTGTGCAAGCATGTTGTTTGACTAGATGTTTGTTGATGAAAGCATGAAATATGTGTATTATTCTATGTGATCCTTCAAAATTGTATGATTGAACACCAAACTTAATTTCCCACAAGGCTGTATTATTTATTTTATTGTATTTCTTTTGGGAAGGGAATTCTTTTCTAAGTCTTTTCTCTACAGGATGCCAATCTTTCCTAGCAAATTTACACAAATGGGATCTCTTGTAAAGAAACATAATGAACACCCCTACGACTTTGTAGAAAAGATCAGATACTTTTGTTCCTTCATGAGCAATGTCTTACGAGACAGAGTTTATGACACCCCTGATCGTATTTCGGCTATGATTGTCCATAGTCTTCTAGAGGAGCCCCCTGACATTGCTGTCAAACAAAGATTTTCTTATTTTTACCTTCCAAGAGACGTTCCGAATTACTATAAATACAAAGATTATTATGGAAAGTGGTATCCTGATTATATTTTCTTAACTAAATATCTCGTAACAGTGGAGAAAGCTCATTGTCAGCACTTAAATCTTCCCTACCCTGACTACTACTACGATAACCCAGTAGCGAACAATCCTCCTCCTAATCAACAATCAGGAAATTCTTCTTCTTCTTCGTCAGGGGGTGGTCAGGCAGAAAATGGAGAGCAACAAGAGAGAGATAGTTCACTTATGGAGATTTCTGATCCTAATCCACCTCCAACTCCAATAATAATAGACATTTCATCGGATGAGGAGGAAGAAGGGGAGTTTGTACAAGTAGAACCTGAACCTGAGTCACCTGAACCAATGGAAGAGTCAAATGATTCTGATTTCGATCTTTCAAGCTACAAACAATCCACTGACAAAATTTCCAAGCAAATTAATCCCAACGAATATTTCTAAGCTATGGGCATCTATGGGATTTTTTTTTTCTTTTTTATCTATGTGATGCTTTATTAAATGTATGGTTGGTTAGCAATCAATAATTGATTGATAAAGCTACAAATTAAGGGAATTCTTAGCTTTTGCTATCCCAAGTTGTTAGCTTCAAATTTTACTGTGAATATTTATAGAGTGCTAAGTAATAGATGAGTGTATGTCTTGAGAGATAAACATAGTCATTTCTCATATAAACCCTTGTCCTCAATTCAGGAGAAACAAAATGGCAAGGGGGAGAGGTTGTGATAATGGTGGAAACGATTTGAATGATCTAAAGTAGTAAGGAAATTGGCAGCAGTTGCCCAACAATTGGCAAGAAAATCAACTGGTAATTGGGATGCTCAAGGAGAGCTCTTTAAGAAGGTGGCACAAAGTAAGCCACCAACATATCAAGGCGATCCTGACCCTATTATATTGGAAAACTGGTTGAGGGAATTTGAGAAACTATTTGGAGCTGTGGGATGCCCTGAAAACTCAAAAGTGAGTTGTGCTACTTACTATCTGAGGGGTGAAGCTGACCTTTAGTGGCAACAAAACGAGACTACCATTAAAGCGCTACCTAGGTTCAACTGGACCAAATTCCAAGAGAAAGCGAGAGACAAGTTTTATCCTAGATTTTTGCAGAAGCAGAAACCTGAGGAATTCTCAAACCTTAAGATGGACAAGATGTCAGTTACGGAATACTATACCAAGTTTATTGAGTTGTCTTGTTTTGCTGAAGGGTATGTCTCTACGGAAAAAACAAAAGCTAGGAAGTTTGAGAGTGGCTTAACTACTGATTTGCAGTTAAAGCTATGCGGGCAAGTATTTGAGACCCTAGATGAAGTATATGGAAGGGCCGCACACCTTTATGCTTTAGAAGAAAAGAAGAAGAAGGAGTTAGATGAAATGGAAGGAAGAGAGAAGAGGAAGGAAGTGGGGCAGGTTTCTGGAAACCAACAGAGAAACCAGAATGGTTTTAAGAAGTAAAAGTACCACCATAACAATAACTTTCACAACAATAATAACTTCCAGGGTAATAACCGTCAAGAAAACCGTAACAACAATGGAGGGGCTAGAAACAATAACCAGGGGAATAACAAGAATGGGAGAATTTATTTTTGCAATAGGTGTAGGAATAACCACCCTGGAAAGGATTTCCAGGGAAATTTGGTCGCTTGTCGTGTTTGTAATAAACTTGGGCATAGGGAATATGAGTGTTTCTCCAAGAATAGCAATGGGAACAGGAAAAACAACAATAATTGAGGAGGAAACCAGAGGAATTTCCAAGGGAACAACAACAACTTTACTAGGAACAAGGGAGTGCAACATAATGGGGCGAAGAACAGTAATACCACCAGTGGGAATAGCCAAGATAAGGGTGGAACTGCAGGGAAACTAAATGTTCTGAGTAAGCACGAGGCGGATGCCACAAAAGATGTTATCACTGGTACTTTTTCTATTAACTCTACTCCTGTTAAAGTATTGTTTGATTCTGGTGCAACTTTTTCTTTTGTTTCGAAGGGTATTGTTTCAAAACTTAAAGACTGTTTAAAGACAGTAGAAGTAGTAGATTTACCCATAACCATTCCGAAAGGTGGGGTAGGGAAATGTACCAAAACCTTTAGATTTGTGCCTTTAGAAATAGAAGGAAAGATATTCCCGTCTGAACTTATTTAGTTTGGGCTGAGCGACTTTGATCTTATTCTGGGAATGGACTGGTTGAGTAAGTATAATGCTGAGATTAGTTGTAGATCACAGAAAGTGAAGATGGTCACAAGCGGAAATGAATCAGTGACTTACTGGATGAATGGTAAAACTAAGTGCCCAAGGTAATATCAGTGCTAAAATTAGCAAAATACATGAAGAAGGGACATCCAGTATATTTTTGTAGTGTTAGGAATATGAACCATGAACAAGTGACAAATCCAGAAAATATAGAAGTAGTCAACGAATTCCTGGATGTATTTCCGGAGGAGATCCCCGGAATGCCACCCAAGAGGGCAATCGACTTTACCATAGATTTAATTCCCGGAACAACCCCAATATCCAAGGCACCATATCGTATGGCACCTGCAGAAATGAGTGAATTAAAGGAGCAATTGCAAGATTTATTGGACAAGGGATACATTAGCCCAAGTGCTTCTCCTTGGGGAGCACTAGTTCTATTCGTGAAAAAGAAGGATGGAAGTATGAGGTTATGCATTAAACACAGGGAACTAAATAAAGTAACCATAAAGAATAAGTATCCCTTACCAAGAATTGATGATTTGTTTGACCAACTAAAGGGTGCCACAGTGTTTTCAAAGATCGACTTGAGATCTGGGTATCACCAATTAAGGATTGCCGACGAAGACATTCCTAAAACCGCATTTAGGACAAGATATGGACACTACAAGTTTACAGTTATGTCGTTTGGATTGAATAATGCTCCAGCAATCTTTATGGATTTGATGCATAGGGTATTTCATCAATTTATGGATAAGTTTGTAGTCGTGTTCATAGATGACATATTGGTGTACTCAAAGAGTAAGGAAGAGCACGCAGAACACCTAAGGGCAATTCTGCAAACACTAAGAGAAAACCACCTCTATGCAAAATTCTCTAAGTGTGAGTTTTTGTTGGAAAAGGTAGCCTTCTTGGGACATTTCGTGTCCAAGGACGGAGTAGAGGTAGATCCAGCCAAAATAGAAGCTGTTAAGAGTTGGCCTACACCCAAAACATTATCTGATGTGCGAAGTTTTTTAGGTTTAGCATGGTATTATAGGCGTTTTGTCAAGGATTTTTCCAAGATTGCTAAACCTATGACCACCTTTTTGAAGAAGGACAAGAAGTTTGAGTGGGACGATAAATGTGAAGAAGTGTTCCAACTCTTGAAACACAAACTAATTACAGCACCAGTACTTACACTTCCAAATGATAGTGGACTGTATGATGTGTACAGCGATGCATCAAAGAATGGTTTAGGGTGCGTGCTTATGAAAAATGGGAAGGTGATTGCATATGCATCGAGGCAGTTAAAGACCCACGAAGTAAACTATCCAACTCATGAGTTGGAATTAGCTGCAATCATTTTTGCACTAAAAATTTAGCGCCATTATTTGTATGGAGTGAAATGTAGAATTTACACAGACCATAAAAGCTTAAAATACATTTTCACCCAAAAGGAATTGAACTCTTGTCAACGGAGATGGTTAGAGTATACGACAGATTATGATTTAGACATACAATACCATGAAGGGAAAGCGAATGTGGTTGTGGACGCTCTAAGTCGTAAAACTAGTCATGGAATCAACTCGTTAGTAGTGGCTAATGAATTATGTAGAGAAATGATGAAATTGAATCTAGAGATTGTAGAATGGGGAGTACCATCGGGTATTCTTGCGAGTCTAAGCATCCAGCCAACAATATTTGACAAGATTCGAGCCAACCAAGAGGGAGAAGTAAAGTTGGATAGGGTTCGCGAGAAAATTAAGCAGGGAAAAACTAAAGACTTCAAGATTCACGAAGATGGGAGTTTGAGGTACAATGATCGATGGTTCGTACCACAGAAATGTGAGGAAGTGAAGAGAAAGTTGATGGAAGAATGCCATAATACACCGTACTCTGTACACCCGGGAGGAGACAAGCTATATAAGGATTTGAAGAAGATGTTTTGGTGGCCTAGAACGAAAAATGAGGTTGATGAGTTTGAAGCAAAGTGTTTAACATGTCAAAAGGTGAAGATAGAGCACAGGAGACCTCAAGGGACGGTGCAGTCATTAGAAATTCCAGGATGGAAGTGGGATTACATTTCAATGGATTTTGTGACTTGCCTACCTAAGTCAAAGAGTGGAAATGATACCATATGGGTAGTGGTGGATAGACTTACGAAATCAGCAGTGTTTATACCAATGAAAGAAACTTGGAAGATGGAGCAACTTGCAAAAGCTTACATTAAACATGTTGTGAGGTTACATGGGGTTCCAAAAGATATTGTATCTGACAGAGATTCCAGGTTTCTCTCAAAATTCTAGAAAAGTGTACAAGAAAATTTTGGTGCAATACTTAAGATGAGTACGACATTTCACCCTGCCACAGATGGGCAAACTGAGAGAACCATTCAAACCTTGGAGGACATGTTGAGAGCTTGCGTAATAGACTTCCAGGGAGGATGGGAAGATGGTTTGGATTTAATTGAATTTTCCTACAATAATAGTTACCATGCGAGCATAGGAATGACACCATTTGAGGCTTTGTATGGGAGGAAATAACATAGTCTAATTTGTTGGAACGACATTAGTGAAACTATGATCCTAGGGCCTCAAATGATTGAAGATACAATTAAACAAGTAAGGGAAATTTAAGCTAAAATTCAAGCAGCTCAAGATCGCCAAAAGAGCTATGCAGACTCGAAGAGAAGGGAAGAAGAGTTCGAAATTGGTGATAAAGTGTTGTTGAAGGTGTCACCAATGAAAGGAGTGATGAGATTTGGAAACAAAGGAAAGCTCAGTCCAAAAATACATTGGTCCATATGAAATACTACAAAGAATAGGCAAAGTAGCTTATAGCTAAGCCTTACCTATGGATCTTAGTAAAGTACATGATGTATTTCATGTGTCCCAATTGCGAAGGTACATTCTTGATAAATCCCATGTGCTACAACCCGAAACCATTGAGTTAGATCAAAGCTTAACTTATGAAGAGAGACCTATCAAGATTCTTGACAGTAAAGTGCGTAGTTGATAGAGGAGTAAACTAGTCGTTAATTGCCTATCCCAAAATCAAACACTATTATAAAATCCTAAACCAACCTAAAACAAGTATAGGTAAGTATAGGGTCGAACCCAAAGGAGTTAGTTGGTGTTATCTTTAGCCTAAATTAAGCTATTTCGGAGATTGAAGTGAGAAAATGGTTGGTGTTCTGATAGAAAAATTAGACTAATCAAGTAATTCAATAAGCTAAATGCTAGGGATATTGGTTCCACATGCTAATTCAATAATCGTGCTAATCGAAAATTTCTTCGTTTGATTCAAGCATTGCAAAAGACAAACAATAGTAGAAATTAAGAGAGTTCAAGAGCTATCTCCTAGAGGCCAAACTAGGGGTCACTATGAATGGCTAATCAAGGAAATTCACAATCAAACTCAATTAATTAAAGCAATTCTCAAATTGATGGGTCATTTCATTAAGAAATGCAATGCAATCTAGATTAATTCTGTAGGTTGATCATTCCTAATCTAATTAACCACATGCAAAACTATGTCAACTAATTTAATTGCAACAATTCAATCCAACAAAGAAAGATCATCAACTAGCTTCTCCTTCTCCCTAGCAACTAATCTACTCACTAATCATGGTGTAACTCAAGAACAAATCACTAGAATTAGCATTGATCATCATTCTAAATCAAAATCAAGAGAAAGCAATATCAACTAAAACATCCAATTCAAATCCAAGCAATGCAAACAATTAAAGATGAAACTAATTCAATTAAGTAAGAGATGAACTAGAAGAAGAAAATCTTACTAACATTAATGATTGAAAATGAAGAAATCCAAGCACAATTGACCCAATGTTGAAATACAAATCCAATACCAAGAACTTCTCTCTAACTTCTCTCTCTAAAATTAGGCTAATGAAAATTATCTAAAGTTATCTTCAAAAAGAAATTACAAGTGTATTTATAGGAAAAGAAGAAAAACGGGATTCCCGCGTCCTCTCCAATAACACTGCGCCCGCGGAAAAATGGGTACGGAACCCATTAACCCGCGGGCTTTCTGGACAATACCCGCGCGCGCGGCAAAAGCACGCCGAATCCCCTGCTCCCAAAGGGTGATCAGAAGGTCGCGGTGTCTCTAGTACGAGCGGACTCTTATAACTACCCGCGCCCGCGACAAGCTTGCGGCCAGACCGCGAAATCTACCAATTTGTTGCATATGAGCCCGCGCCCGCGGCCTTCAGTACCCGCGCCCGCGGCAAACTGGCAGGGCATGATGCCCTCTCAATG